AAAACTTTATAATATTGCTAAATATGGTATTTGAAGTAATTATTTTAATATATTTATAAACTACATATACTACATATTAACAGTTGAAATATTAAATAATAAAACTTATTAGTTCTTAAAATTAATTTTTAAATTTTGTCCAAAATTTTATTTATGAGGTGTTATATATATAATATATATATATATATATATATATATATATATATATATATATATATATATATATATATATATATATATATATATATATATATATATATATATATATATATATATATATATATATATATATATATATATATATATATATATATATATATATATATATATATATATATATATATATATATATATATATATATATATATATATATATATATATATATATATATATAGTTTCAACATTAACAGAAGACTGCTTCACCGTGACTTTATTCCATTATTAAAGACAGTTGTTTTTCAAACTCAGCCTTAATATATTTTTGTAAGATATCATTTTTGGTATTAATATTTTTATAACACTGATTGTCTAAATATTTTTTTATGACTGGCCCATAATAAAACTCATTTAGTTCAATTTTAGGTCTTACATTTTCATGATTGTAACCCAATAAATCTTCCTCAATTTTGTCATTCTTGAATCACTGTCAGAAAATTCATTTTCAAATTCTGGCTGATCTGCATTGAATTCTTTATTTTTATTAAGAACAATTAAAGTTCAAATAAAGTTTATTTTGTAGAATTACAGAACAGAATAGAATAACTAACCAATATGATATATTGCAAAAGATTTTTACTTTTCAATAACAATTTTATTGTACAACTGAAAATACAATTATTTTCTGCGAATTTATACTATTTTTAAATTATTTTATTGAGATGCATAAATTGTTGATTATAAAAAAGTATCCCAGGATTTTAGATCCTGGGATCCTTAGATTGTCACCGCTAGAAAGGAGGAAATTAATACTTCAATTGTGCAATGCTTTTGTAATGATTGTAAAATTGAGTCCTTTCTAACAGTAAATACAGTGCTTCAAATGTCTAAAAACAGCTGGTGATAGATGTTAAAAAAGAAAATTGCACCAGGAAGAATATTGTATATGCTATCTCAATCTTCCATATACCTGAAAGTCGCGTTTCGAATGTTATTTATAAAAACTTTCGATAACAGTTGTTTTTAGATGTTAAAAATATAATAATTGTGTGTATGCCATCAAATCAAAATCTAAATTTTGCTTCAACTTAATCACCTTATAATTATTAGTTTATTAATTTCTTAATAATCTTCATCAGTTATCTTTATCATATATATTTCTTATTTTATTCATTTTAATCTAATTAATTAATAAGCTTATAATAATAATTTTTTTTTTTATAAACTCAAAGTAATTATAGATATGAACCTGGTCTTGTTACTTTTCTTTTTTTTGTGTGTGTGTAAAAAAAAGTTTTGTTAAAATAAATAAAAAAAAAATTTAAAATAATAAATATTCAAAACATAATAATAAATAAAATAATTTAAAACAATGATTATTTAAAATAAATATCTATAATAAATATTTAAAACAATTATAGATACAGTACTTTAAAAAAAATCAAGTTTTTACTACATTTTGATGTTTATTAAATTTTTGATGTTCTTCTACTATCAAAAGTATTTTCACATAAACAAACGTCTTTTCCAACAACTTGTTATCTAATGCAGTCAGCATGAGGCTAACAGCAGGACTTCCAAGTCTCAACAGCAGGACTTTCGTGTCTCTACAAGCGACTAAGAAAAATAATTGATTCTGATGAAGATAGAAAAGACACAGGAATTAGCAAAATCATACAATCAGTAAGACACTCAATTTCTATATCTTTATTAGAACAAGCAGCTCCCTCTTAAAAATTAAATAAATCAACAGATTTTTTTAATTTTAAAGAGGGAGCTCTTCAAAATTAAAAAGCAACAACTTTCTTTAAAATAAAAATTATTTATAAAAAAGTTTGCACCTTAGTAATCTTTTTTGAGAATTATTTACAAATTTTTTTTTTTTTAAAACACCAATAAAAAAATAAATGAAAAAAAAAAGAAGGGCTTCACAAATTCATTAACAAATGCAAATTTTTACATTAAAAAAGTAATTTTATCAGTGTTTTATCAGTGTATTATCAGTGTTCCAAACAAATTTAATTTAAAGCTGGAATAACCATTACTTGATGAAAACTAAACCCAACCAAAATGTGAGCTTAAGCATTTGTCCAATACTTTATTCCATCGCCTGTGTCCATAAAATTCGTTGTATCGTTTGAATAACCATGATTTATTACTTTTAGTGTTTTTTAAAAATTGTAATTAACAAAAATGAATAACAAGAAAATTAATATTGCGCAGACTACAAATGTTGTAAGTATTATATAATCTAATTTCTGATAGAACTCAAATTTTTTCGTAATCTTGAGATTCGGAGGTGAAAAATTTTTGTGCAATAAATCAGGTATTTAAATAACAATTACAAACATTCTACCAAAAGTTCAAAAATATTATACCAAAAGATCACAAATATTTTACTAAAAGCTTACAACCATTCTACCTAAAGCTCACAAACATTCTATCAAAATATATTTATAACTTAAGAAAGTATTTTATATTGGAAAAAGCAACTTGTTTCTCTGCCATGCAACGGCTCTGTTTGTCAAGGTTTGTGTTTTGGAGTTATAGAGTTGAGAGAGGATTGTAATCAAAACTAAAAGTAGCCTCATCAACTGTAGTGGTCTTCATGGCCTTGAGGAGGTGAATTGAAATTTAAAAAAAATAAAAACAAGTTAAACCACTCATATTTAAAACATTATATATAACCACACATCAATGTATTAGTAGAAACCACAAAGCACTTTAGATATAACTTTTTTTTAGATTTAAATTTTTTTTTAACATTATTTTGGTTTGATTAAAAATCTAAAACAGGAGTCTGAAATCAAGAAATCAAGTGTATTGAAAAATACTAGAGACTAATTTTTAATATAGAAGCTGTTGAAATTTTAAATGATCCTGTGTTACTAAAGAAATAAAAATTGAATTAAAAAAAACGTTTTTTTTTTTAAATTACTGAATAATTTTTTATTTTACAAAAATATTTTCTTACAAAAAAAGAAAAAAAGTAAAGAGATCAGGTTTGTATGCTCGTATAGACCATGTTCATACCACTGAGTATGAACCTGGTTTATATGAGCCAGTCATTCAGGTCATGTTTTAAAAACCGGAAAACATTTTGAAAAAAATAAAAATTAAAAAAAAAGAAATTTATTTCCTTATATTTGTCTTAACTTACATTTTAAGCAGATGGCTTTCTTAATTTATTTTCTTATTTTATGTATAAGTATTGACTGAAAAAGTTAAAAACAAATATTTTGCAAAAACATTTTTAAATTTCTATCTATGAAATCCAGAAAAACTAAAAACAAAAAAAGTATCCAGAATTCTGGATATCTGGAAAAAGATAATCTGATTATTTTTTATTTACTTTACAAAATTATTTATTTACAAAAAAAAATTTTTTATAAAAATAAAGATCAGGTTCTTAACTTTGAGTTTATAAAAACATTAAAAACAATAAAATAATACTTTTTATATTATATTGTTAAATTATATGATTTTTGTTGTTGTTGTTGATGATATTATTTTCATGTTTAAAAACTAATTTTAAAATTTTTTTAATTGTTTAAAAGAAATTTTATTTTAAATTTATTTCATTATTTTTTAAAAATTTAAGTGGTTGTAGTATACAAGTATAACTAACAATTAAAATATCTAATGATAATAACCTTATAATCACAAATTGTAATATCTAAATAGATAAATAATATACTATATTTATTATAATTATTATATATATATCAGGCTTTCACAGGAAGACGTGCGATTTCACGTCTTTATATGAACACGCAAGTTGCATTTTGCTATGACGATTTGATCGCAGCTAATTCAAAAAAAGTTTTAGAAATGCGCTAAATAAAAAATCTTCTAAAAAAGTGAAATTAATTACATCAAAACTTCTTAACAAATGTTTTTATATTAGCGAAACGATTTTTAATAAAGTAAAAATTTACTGAAAAAAAGTTTTGTTTTTTAAATATAATTGACAGTTGTATATATTTTTTTATTTTAAACATAAATTGTTTAAGTGTTCATTTCTAAAATAAATCTTATTAAAAAAAAAAAAATTGTTTTGTTTTTATAAACGATGACATTCTAGGACTACGAAAGTCTCTTTAACGAATTTAAATATAAGAATGATTAAAGTTAATGCATTTAAAAAGATAAACAAAATTTCGTTCAAAAAAAAAAGTTTTAGAAAACCGTTACAATTTAATAAGTTTATCTTAAATGCTTTTATATTATCGAAACGCTTTTAACGAAGCAAAAAAAAACACTTCTAATTAATTTAAAAAAAGTATTAATAAAAAAAAAATTTATTTTATTTATATAACTATGTATTTTTTATGAGAAATATTTAACTTTTGAACATATTAAATAAATAAAAAATATATATAAAAATGTTGAAGCAAAGATTGAAAAAGTTTTTTAATGCATAAATTAAATAGACTAAGCATTTTAGTTTGATGAGTTTTGTTTTAGCTGCGTTTTTTTGCTTTAACTAAGTATTTTTTTTTATTTTCTCTTTTGTTAATATTTATTATTTTTTTTAATTTTTTTTTTCAGATAAGTTTAGGTAAGTTTTTGTAGCGCGTTTTTAAATTTCAAAAATATGACGTGGTCAAATCGTTAAAACATTTTTTTTCTGCGTGGTCATATTAAGACGTGAAATCGCACGTCTTCCTGTGAAAGCCTGATATATATAAATATATTATATATATATATATATATATATATACATATACATATATATATATATATATATATATATATATATATATATATATATATATATATATATATATATATATATATATATATAATTAATACAAATAATTGTGCGCCTGAAAAATCTTACATGAATCTCTTGAACCAATTGAACTTCCAAGGTCATCATCAATTAAACGTTTGTTCTAAAAATGATTTCATAACTCTAAAAATCTATGGAAACTATATAATATCTTGTTAAATTATTATAAATTAATTATAAATATTAGGGCTTGAATTAATATAAACATCTGATATTAATGATCGACATAAAAACTAAACATTTTCAAAAAATTTGCATAAAGTATAATAAAATAATTTTATTACACCTATTTCTGCATGCACTTTCATATTTCACTTTCTAAATATAAAATCTGTTTGAAAATTTAATTATAGTTAGTTATCCTTTTTAATATGGCTAATAAGATAATGAAAGAGAAATAAATTTAGTTAAGAAAACTTTTTTATTATTAAATACTTAAATTATAGATTTTATTTTTTTTGTTAAAATTTTTTTTTTTTTTTTTTATAGAATTTTTTTTGTTTTAAATTTTAAATTATTTTAAACTTATTTTAGAGAAATGTTTATATTTTTGTTTTTATTTCATTTAAAGTATTTACATTTTTAGTTTGTACATTTTATACAAATTTTTATGGCTGGATTTTATTATTTCGTTGAAAAAATATTTTAATGAAATAAAAAATACAGGAGAAAAATTTTTGAAAAAATTTATCTAAAAGATGACAAAACATTCAAAAATATATCTATTGTTGCTGCTATCTCTTCTTTCTGTCGCGATTTTATAAACCTGTTTTGTTTATTAGTTGAGAAACAGGCATCAGCTGTCCCAGAAGCCATTGGAGTGTCAAATTTGCTTTAAAGTAATTAAAAAAAAAATAAAAAATTACAAAGCGAACTTTGGTCTTTTAAAATTCTCTTGATAAAAATGATTTTATTTAAAAAAAAAAAAAAAAAATTATTAAAAAAAATAATTTTATTTAAAAAAAAAAAAAAAAAAAAGATTGCTAATAAAGATTTGCAAAACCTTTATTAATCCTTTTTTAATACCTTGTTTTTGCTACAAATAAAAATACGAAATCATGAACAATCAAATTGTGTTTAATAAAAATGATTTTATTTAAAAAAAAAAAAAAAAAAAAAAGATTGCTAATAAAGATTTGCAAAACCTTTATTAATCCTTTTTTTGCTACAAATAAAAATACGAAATCATGAACAATCAAATTGTGTTTAACAATTCTTTGTTTAATATGAAAAATCTTTTTCAAAATGATTTTTGCCAAATGCTTTAACAAAAATGTTGCAACAGTTAACTATTGCATGTAAATATCTTTAAGTATATTAAATATATATCAAACATCAAAAAAACACATATATATTCATGAACTGCTTAAAAATTTTTGATTTTTCAAAAAAAAAAAAATCGCAAAAAATATATTAGTAAAAAAAAAAAAACACAAAGGTGTGACAAGCAATTTGCTATTGTGATATGCTTAATTCAAGCCCTAAATTGCATAAATTAAAAAATTATACAATAGTGAAATTTATACATTAAATTCAAAATTAAATTAAATTATAGAACAGGTTGCAAAAATTAAAATATTAAAAAATACAAAAAAAAGTAGTTAACATAAAACAACAACCCTAACTTACATGATAAACTTAGGAGAGATCTCTGTAACTCCCTATGTATATTACACCATGTACATAGGATAACCCAACTTCAATAGAATAATAATTTCTTGTAAATTTTACTTTTTCATTCATAACAAAAAACTAATAGGAGTTGTTTGAATTGAGGTAAAAGTTATTAGTTTTATAGTAGCAATTATATGTTCTTATGTAGCAGTTCCTTATTCTAAAATATGCTCTTATGTGGCAGTAAATTATTTTGAAATATGTTCTTATGAAGTTTATTGTTCTGAAATCATTGCAGCAGTTCATGAATTATCAGTTTGTTTTAAGTAATAGTTATGTATTTTTACCTTCATTTCTATAGTTTTCTGAACTCACATGTTCAAAAAAGAATTAACAAGATGTTTTTTTACACACTTTATACTTGTTTACAAAGCTTCTGTCTCTTACAACATGATGTACTTATTTTTTTAATTATTGACTATCTACAGTAAGGTCCAAAAGTTTAGAAACACCAAATTTTTTTCAATTTTCAATGTATAACTTTTAATAAACTTTCTCAAATAAGCCAAAATTTTTACCAAATTTTGTTTATTGTAATTCAATTTAAAATACAAACTAAGAAAGTTGTTAAATTTAACAGCTAAAATTTAATGGTTTTTAAAAAAAGGCTTCTATCCAAAAGTTTTAAAACAACTAAATTTTGATTAATTTTTATTTTAAAAAAGTGAATGTGATAGCATAAAATTATTTGTGATGTTTAAATAAATTCTTAGGTCCATAATACATTCTATGCTATGAAGGTATAATGAGACCCATATTGTCATACATTGATTAAAACACATCCAAACTATAACATTTCATTCTCCATGCTTAACAGAAGGTAACTCATATTTTGAAGTAAGTCTGTCACTTATTGTCACTACTGATTAGCATAAACTCTAAATCATCAGAGGACTTTTGACCAGTCATTAATTATCCAACTAAGATGATCTTTCTTGAATTTTATTTTGGTTTTCAAGTTTCTTGCAAATGTCTATGGTTTCTTAACTGGACGACAAATAAACAGATTATTTTGTCGTAATCTACATTTAATTGTATTGAAGCTACAGTTTGTGCCATGAAACTGATTTTTGTAAGTTTTTGTAAGGATTGTTCTTGGAATACCTTATTAATAGTTTATCAGCCTTATCAGTAATAGTAAGTGACCAGGACCCAGGCCCTGGCTAAAAATGAGGTTTTTCGCAAATCTGGGCCCAGCCCTAGCAAAACTATAAGATTTAGCAGGGTTTGATAGCTGGAGCTAGAAAAAAATTCTTTTTATATATATATTTATAATTCTTTATTTTAAACTTATATTTACTATTTATTAAATTTTGGCATATATTTATCTTAGTATTTAATAAATAGGGAAAGATACAGTAAAAAGATGCAAATTGTTGAATAAGAAGCCAAGCAAGAATGAGTTTTGGTTTATTGTAATAAAGATGATAGCTTGTTTGAGCATTGAGCATGATTAGAGAAACAGCATAAAAGAGGAAAGCTAAAGCCTGCTGTTGCTGTTGCTGCTGCTGCTGATGATGATGATGATGATGATGGTAATGATGATTATGATCATGTTGATCATAATAATGTTTATATATGCATATATATACAAAATATAACACAAATTTAAAAAAATTGTACTTTGGGATGTATAAATGTTTATGCAGCCCTGGTCACAAATCCGGCCCCAGCCCTGGCTATATTTTATCAAACCCGACCCCAGCCCCGGTCAAATATCAACCCCGGTCGTTTACCAATCAGTAGTAACTTTAGGTCTTCCAGAGCAAGGCTTGATTGTTTTGAACATTGTAATGTTCAGAAATTTTACTCTTAGTCATTTTTTTTCTATTTTATATTTAATTTCTTGATTTCCGTTGAAACTTCCTTAGCCTTTCCCATGCTTTTAAAATATAACAAAGTAATTGAATTAGAAAACTTAACAAATATTTTAGCAATTAGTTATAATTTGCTGCTTTTAAAATAAAAGTAAAACATTAAATTTCTCAAATAGTCTTTGTTTACAAAGACTTGATTTAATTGCAGGGGACAAGACTGTTTCTAAACTTTTGAAGGTTTTGCAGGTAAGCCATTTCAAAAAAAAAATTAAATTTTAATTTCCAGTTAAATTTTACGATTTTTGTGTTTGCATTTTGAATAGAAATAATTTAAAGCACATATGTTAAAAATTTCAGCTGATTTAAGAACTTTTGTGAAAAGTTGTGCGCTATAAACTGAATTAAAAAATAATTAAACTAGCGTTCAAAAGTTTTCTAAACTTTTGAACGCTACTATAATTATTATACACATTTTTAACACAATTCCTTCTTGATGCATTTTTGCATTCAATGCATTTATTAAATCTAACGGTGACGTAACTTATGGTAACATAAGCAACAATATGTAACTAACGATAATGAACACTTAAATACTAATCTCAATACTAATTTATTATTTACACGTTTAAAAAGTATTTGTATTAAAATTTTTTTATTTGTTGAGGCAATCAAGAAAGCAATCAGGATTCAATGAAACTTAAAACTTTTTTTGGCATAAAAAATAAAAACAAAAATATTAATAACAGGATATTTTTAAATTAATTTAAAAGTATTTTTGCTACCTGATTCAACTTGAAACGACCTTGTTTTTCAAGGTTCGTGTTTCTAAGTAAAAGTGCTGTTTATCAAACCATGTGTTTTAGAGTAAAAGTATTGTTTGTCAAGACTCATGATTGGAGTAAAAGTTTGTCAAAGCTTGTATTTTAGAGTAAAAGTATTTTGTCAATGTTTATAAGTAAAAATGTTGAGAGGATGTTGTGGCAACAATTTTTTTCAAGAGTAGTCTACTTAACTATTGTGCTTCTGCCTTGGGGAGGTCAACAGTTAGTCTATTTTACTGTAGTGCCTCTGCCTCAGAGAGGAAGTAGTGAAAAAAAATACATTTCCCATCCCTAACAAAACAATTACAGAATTTTTAAAATTCATATTTTAAATATTTTAAAAATATTTTGAAACCTTTAAAATAATTTTTCTTTTTAAACTCTCAGGTGAAGGCAGCTGTGTTTCATTCGGATCTAAGAACTGAGTAACCAAATATTCTGAAGAAGAAAAAAAATGCTAAAGTTTTTGTGTGTAAGTGCAAAGAAGCAATAAGTAACTCAACTGTTTTTAAAAAATACTTACTTCCTAAGTATTTTTTGAATATATCTGCCATCATAATCTGTTGTGGTATACTGCAATGATTTTCCAATGATAAAATTAGAGGATATCTACACAAAATATAATAATATAATAACAACTGTTAAAATAGATTTCTCAAAAATATAAACTAAAATATTGTAAATAATTTGTGTGTGTATGTGCTTACTCAGATTCTGCAAATGCATATGTAGCTATAGCCTTAACAACATCAACAAAGTTTATTTTAGTACAAAGCGTCAAGCCATGATAAATGATTGGTTCTGAAGGTCCATCCCAGCAATCCACTGTTAAATATAATTACATTTATTATGTAAATACTACTTATCATACAAATTATTATAAAAAATACTAATTATGTAAATACTATTTATATTGTAAACTATTATTAAAAAATTACTTATTATTATATAAATACTACTTATTATGTAAATTATAATTAAAAATATTACTTATAATGTAAATACTACTGGTAACTTGTAACTTGCTTCATATCCTGCTACCTTTTTTACACAAAGACTAGGAGAAACCAACTCTGACTTAACAAACCTCATGCATTGGGGCTCTAGGTTGAGTAAAGGCTAGAGATGATGTCTTGATAAAAATATTCATCTTGGGCAGTCATTAAATGCACCATGCTACTATCTTGCAGAGATTCTATTTGTTGACCAGTGCCGCACCTCTTCATTATTTATTAGACTGGCGTAGATGTATTTATGATACATTGTTTCCAGTTTAGTATGTTGACCGTTGCATGGATTCTGCTTGTGTCTCTGTTTTTATGACTAGACAACTCATTCTATTATCTTCAGCTCAAAAACTCAGCTTTATGGTTCTGAGGCTGGCTAGTAGTCAGATTTACCAAATGCGGTGGTAGCTCTCAGAGAGGCTGATTCCATCAACATCTGTAAAATATCAGAGTACTAACAGTGCCAGGACATGTGTCCCTGTTCACACTTTTGGTGTGCATTGTCAAGGTCACATTTGAAGCCCTTTGTTATGGCTTAGGATTTATTAACAGTAATAAGGAAATTATTTGAACTATTAGATAGTGTAATGAGTACTATCTGTGCTTTAAGTCAAGTTCTTTAACCAAATTTAAAAAATTGACTAAAGTCAACCATCATCATCACCAAGTTCTCTAAATCTATCAATCACTAATATTCATGGTCTTCAAAGTAACTTTTCTTCTGTTAAGTCTTATCAAGACTCAATAGAATGAATGCAAAGTTCACCAGACCTACTTGCTCTTTGTGAGACTAATTTGAGCTCAGCTGACTTATATTGCGATTTTAGTGTTGATGGTTATCTTCCTTTAATTCGTAAGGACTCCAATAGTCACATGCTTAGCCTGAGCATTTACATTCGTAAATGCTTTCATTTAGCACCACATCTCACCTTTTTCTTTGTTCTATATGGCTCTCCTTCTTCCCAAGACTGCACTCTTTTCGATGTTATTTCTGATCAAATTGACCAACCCCTTTCTCATTATCCTTCAGCCAATTTCGTTGTTATTGGTGACTTAAATGCTCATCACACTGAATGGCTTGGCTCTAGTGTCAGTGACTCTGCAGGCATTAAATCTTACAATTTTATCCTTTCTTAATCTCTAACACAAATAGCCAACTTTCTGACTCACTTTCCCGAAAATCTGAACCATTTACCCTCTCTACTTAACTTATGTCTTGTTTTTGATTCTAGTCAGTGCTCTTGTTTTTGATTCTAGTCAGTGCTTTCTTCACATTCATCCTTAGGTGTTTCTGATTATGGTTTGATCTCTCTAAAACTATTATCTCATTCTTCTTCATCATCCGAATACCCTTATCATCTTACCTCTTAAAACTACCTTAAAGCTGACTGGGACTCAGTGGTTTTCTTTGTGATGGCCCTTAGGTAGAAATCTTTCATCTTCCTGCTGACAAAGTGCTTTTTATGCAACTTCTTTTGATTCTAAGATTTTAAGTCGACCCTCACTCTTCTCCATGGTTTATCTCTTATTGAGCTGCTGCGATTTCCAATGGTAACCATTACTTTCATACCTATCATCAAAAACAATTCTCCAGAAAACAGACACCTGTTTACATTTGCTAGAAATCATTGTAAAAAGGTTTGTCCAACTCCAAAGCCCGTTACTCTCAGGTCACAAATTCTCATATTTCATCTCAAAAACTAGACTCTCGCGATTTCTGGAGAATCTTTAACAGTATTTATAATAAAGGTTATTCCACCTCTTTTGAATAATTCAGATTTTGTTACCTAAAGATAAAGCTGAACTGTTTGCTAAGAACTTTTCATAAATTTCATCTCCTGATTCCACTAATCACACCCTACCAAATATATCTGACAAACAGGTTGATCCATTGTTTGACATTTGTATCACTCTAGCTTCTGTATCTAAAGTGATTTCCTGCTTAGACTCTTCTGCAGTTTGTGGTCCAGACAACATACCTGTTATAGCCTTGCAGAAGTATTCTCCAGAGCCCATAATATTGTTGTCTATATTTTAAAAACTATTTAACATGTGTTTGTCAGAGTCTTGTTTTCCAGTCTGCTGGAAAGCGGCACCTGTTGTCCCTATTTTAGAAAATTTTGGAGAGCGATCTGGCTCGCCTAACTAACGTCCCATTAGTCTTGCTATCATAAGCAAGGCTTTTGAATCTTCAGTTAACAAACACCTAATCTTTTATCTTGAATCTAATAATTTCTTTCTGATCATCAATATGGATTTCGATCTTCTCATTCTACGGCTGATTGTTAACAGTATTAACCAATAGATTTTATTGTGCATTAGATAGATGTAGAGGTTAAAGCTATCACTATTGACATTTTTAAAGCTTTTGATAATGCTTTGCATGCTGGTCTTCTCCACAAGCTCTCCTCTTACGGTGTATCAGGTAATATCTTTAAGATTATTGAATCCTTCCTTACCAATCGTAGTATAAAAGTTGTCCTTGATGGACAGCACTCTTCTTCATATCTTGTAACTTCAATATCTTGTTTCCTCAAGGTTCTAACCTTTGGACTTTTTTTTTAATTTACATTAACCATCTCCCAGAAATTCTCACTTCTAAGATGACATTGTTTACAGACAATACTAACTATTATTCTTGTCTTGATAAGAAGCCAACACTCTATGATTGCTTAGAGGGGCATTTGAGCTTGTAATGGATCTCACTTCTGCTACTGCATGGGGCTCTCAGTAACTAGTGAACTTTAACTCAGATAAAACTCAACTTTTTTTCACTTAGTTGTTATCGCAATAATCTAGATCTTTCGATATTTATGAACGATAATGTACTCGAAGAGTTATCTACCCTTCCTTTTCTGAGATTTAATCTTACTTCCAAACTTTCTTGGAAACCATATATCAAATTGATTGCAAAATTTTTATCTGCCAAGGTTGCATCTTTTTATCGTGCTCGCCACTTTTTCACTCTGGATTCTATTCTTTATCTATATAAATCTCAACTTCGTCTATGCATGGAATACTGTTACCATATCTTGAGTAGATCTTCAAATGATGCCCTTTTTCTTTAAGGCAGGGTGCAAAAACATATTGTAAACAATACGTAGTTGGACCTGCTCTTGCAGCCAACCTTCAACAACTTTCATATTGTCGTAATGTTGCTTCTTTTTCTTTTCTCTATGAAAACTATAAATGGCACTGCTTTAAAGATTCTTTAATCTCTGATTCTTAAAGATAAAAGATTCTTTCATTCTCGTGTTACTCGTCATTTAACTAAGTCTTATCATTTTACTGTGAATGTTCCTAAGTGCTCCTAAAATTCTTTTTAGTCTAGTTTTTTTCCTTCGACATCAGTTCTTTGGAATTAGCTCTCTTTAACTTGTTTTCCTAATTATAATTTTCCTGATTATAATTTGCAATCTATTAAGTCGTCTGTTAATCATTATCTTGCTTCATTTACTTCATCTTTTCTCTTCCAGTAACATCCAACTCTAATAGTGATTGCAGACTTGTAGGAAGTAATGTTTAAATAAAATTTAAAAAAATTAAAAAAACAACAATTAGCTTCTTTTTTTTTGTCTTTGTTTTTTTTGTTTTTGGCTTACATTCAATACATCTGCAACCCATACGCAAACATCTTATATAAGATTCAAATGATGATTCACTTTGGAGCTGGTCACCAGTCAAATAACTAAATAAAAAATTAAAATAAAGTAATATCTGTTTTAATTTGATTGGTGAAAAATTAAGTCTATCTGTTCAATCAAAACAAGATATGCCATATATTACTAAAATTGTTATACAATATTTAAAAAAAAATTACTTAAATACAGTAAACAACTCTTTTAAAAACACATATGGTAGGTTAGGGCAATGAGCACCTTAGTAATATAAGCATACTAAAAGATTTCTAAGACATAATCATTGAAGGTAAAGTTACTTTGCATATTTTGAATTGTCTTTGTGGTGAAAACAGGAATCAGTACAATTAGCGTAAATTTATATGCAGTAATTAACGGCTTTCATCCAATTCAAATGCCATTAAATTATTTTTTGCATTAAAAAATTATCATCATGCATGAATAAATCTGTGACATGAAATTTTGATACTAAAATAATGAAATTTACTTTTTCATAAAGAAAAATATGTTAACTAAAAATTTGTTCCGTTTTTGTTTGAAAAACAATCCGTAGAAATATTCAGTTTTGACTTTTTATTGTTTCAATAAAAAATTACTTAAAATTTGATCTTTTAATGATAAGTTTTGTTAATAACAAATCATTATATTCCACAAATTAGTTATAATTGTCAGGTTGGTATTTTTTTGACTTAATGTTATTTTTTTGAGCTAATATAAAGTGCTCATATTATTAAGTGGTCCGGGTAATATTTTGAAAATATTTTAATTTTTGCTTAAGGAGCTCATAATACCTTAATATATAAATAACAGCGCTGAAAATAATAATTTAAAGGTTGCTAATCACTGTGAACCAGAGAGCATATTAGGTTTGATGGAGTGCCACCTGGGATTTTTTTACTGATAAAGTATTATTTTCATTAAACTAACATAGTTTTTAACTAACATCATGGTTTAAACTAACATCATATTTAAAATTAATTTCACTTGCTAAGAATAAAAAAAACACAATATTCTGAGCCCCTTCTTCCAATTAAAAAATGACAGGGTTGTTAATTTTTACATAGCCACAGCTCCTGGATTTCGAAGCATTTTTTAATGAAATTTAAAATTCATAAATTATTTTTTAATAAAATTAAAAAATTTGAAGTTATTTTTAATTTAGTTTACCACAGTATAACCTTTTTTTTTCGAAAAGACTCAGGTGGGCCTGGGTTGTCAAATTTAACTGAGGTGGTCTTGGGTTGTCAAATTTAACTGAGGTGGGCCTGGGGTGGGCCTTGCTACAATCCCATGATTTTTTATAAGACAGCTTTATTTAACAATATAATGAAATAAAATTTTTTTACTAATCTTTATTATCTGTATTGCATTTATATTGTTGCCATCTAGACTTAAACTTTGCATGAATTGCTACACCACACTGTTCTGCATACTTTGACAAGCTGCTTCCTGCTTTACAAAAGGAAAAACATGGCAACATATAATGTAGATTTTCCATGAAACTGGTAATGTCTTTCCAAGCGAAGAAGCTGTTTCTTGTAGGCATAGAAAAGCATATTTAAACAATGATAACAATGATAGTAGATTATGGTAAGTAGATATGGTACTTTAAGTTGCATTTCAAGTTGAAGTGAATCACATAATATTAAAATTTTATTTCCATTATTACCATCCCATCCAACTCCATGATATCCTCTTTTAGTTATACAGTGTTTGTTTTTGTCACAACTTGAAACTATTCCACTCAGTTAAAAGAATTCCTACTCTCTTATCCACTGCTTCGATAAAAAGATGTAGCTCAGGCAGAGCAACTAAATTTTCTAGCAAAGTATTTTTATCCATGTTCAGATATACTAGGCGTTTGTTCACAATATTATCAAATTCCTTTATGGAAGATCTAATGGATCCATTTTTAATATATGCTTCATAACAGGAATTAAGATCGCCAATATTTCTAAGAGTTTCAATATCAAGTGTACATTTGCCACTACACCGCAAGCAAGCTTTTTTACCTGCATGTGATAAAAGACATTAGCACATTTAAGATCAAAAGCAATATAATAGTTTAAATCTTCAAAATTAAGTTTTTCAAGCACTAATTTAAGGTTTTCATATTTTTCAGGAATATCTTTAACAATGGCTAAAATAAGAACTTTGTGAACTTCACTATTTTGAAATTTATTTTCAGATTCTTTTTCTTCCTCAAAAAAATTAACAACAATTTTTAGGAAGCCTCTTCCATCATCTAAAGAAACTCTTCAAAACCAACACATGGATTTATACCTCTTTCTTTAATAATACGCAGGATTAAATCAGAGGGATTTTTAATACAAATTAAATCTCTTAGTTTCATTCTGGTTAGAAACAAACTTAACTTCCTCTACACTATAAAATTCATCAAGTTGTACTTTAAGATTATCTAGTTTTTGAACTATATTTCCCTCAACAGAGTCTCTTCTATTTAATCCAGTTCTAATTGTAGAACAAAGTTTTTTTGTTGCATAGTCAAAAATTTCAAGGGAGATTTGCAATTCCATGATTGTTTGAAGACAAAGTTGTTTACTACATCTGTTACTTTGTAAATTGGGAGCTCCAACTCTAATAGAGATAGGTGTTCCTTGTGTTTTTAGTTTGAAAACTGTTCTTTTTTCTATGCCTTCGCTCTCTGTCATTTTTTAATTATAGTACTGGCTGTTTGTTCTGCATGTTCTCCTAATTGTAAACAGTGGCCAATCAAGTTGTCTACAGCAGCAGCTTGTGTACACTGATGAGAAATGCCTCCAGCAACAAGAAAACAAATGCTGCATGTTTTCAGACACTTTCGGTTCAGTAAATGTTGGAACACTGATACCCAAACATGGATTTGAAGATCACCTTTTGTTGGCCCAATCAATCTAAAGCATTTCAGCTTACAAATTAACAAAATAACAAGTTAATTAACTCCTAATTGACAAATAACCATGCAAAGAGATTTGTTTGTTACAATTTGTTTTAGTTATTTTATAAATCTAAATATAAAATTGTTTGGCTCTGTACCTGACCTTTGAAAAAAATCTAACATTACTCCCATCTTTAAGAAAGGAAGCAAGCTTAAGGCTCAAAATTATCGACGAGTCTCCCTCACCTCAAATCCGTGCAAAGAAATGCAAAGATTAATTCACAAACATATTAGGACGCATTGGGTGGATCAATCTAATCTCCAAGCATCAACATGGTTTTCTTCGTAAAAAGGAATGTCTAACATCCTCAAAGTACACAATATATTTACCGAGGCTATGCACTAAAGCCTATCCAGTCGCGCATAATTTCATAGAATTCGCTGTAATTTTATCACAAAGCACTCTAGGATGCCCTGCCGGACCTCAGAACTTTATAATATTATTAATATTAGTTATTTTAAAATAATATTAGTTATTTTTGTATGTTTCTTAAAGAATTTTGATCTTAGTTAGAACAATGCCATCATTTTGTGCTGCTATAAACTATGGAAATAGGAGTAGAAAAAACTGTAAAGATATTTCATTTTTTTGTTTTCCTACGGTAAAAAACAAGCTAATTCATATATTATTTATAATAACTTTTTTTTTCATAAAAAGTTTATAAAATTATTATTGTAGTATTTTAAAGCATATTATTGTAGTATTTGTAAACTATTATTACTATTATTACTACTATTATTATTGTAGTATTTTAAAGCATATTATTGTAAACATATTCTTTTATTGTTTAATTTTTAGATGTAAAGTGGGACATTTCTAAAGATTTAGAAAAAAAAGATTTTGTATTTTTAAACAAAAACTTTTATTTGTGCAGTAATCATTTTTAAAGTACAATGTATTATTCTACAAATAATGGTGGAAAACGTTTGTTACAACTACTATTTTTAACATCCCAAATCCTCCTACACTTCTTGGTTGCAAAAGGAAACTACCAGTTAAACGTCATTCAATTCCAGCAAAAAAGCAAGTTGTTTGTTTACCTGTTAATTCAGATAGTAATTTAGAGAACAAAATGTCAACTAATAAAATAAATTTCAACAAACTTCAAAGGTTATTATTAACATTGCGAGTCAAAAATTCTAGACTACGTAAACAAGTTCAACATTTAAAATCTAAACAAAAAACCCAAAAAAACTGTGATGGGTATATAAAACATATTTTAAATTTATCCAGAAAATACTTATCACCTATACAAGTCAATAAAGGAAAACGCTGGGCAGTTTGTGACAAAGTTTTGCCTTTGCGAATTTTGTTTCACAGTCCTCAAACTTTTAATGTCTTGCAAACGATATTCTGTTTACCAAGTCAAACCTGTTTATTATTATTTTTGTGTATTTTCAGATCTTCAAGAAGGATTTTCTATTCGATTTTTTTCTTTATTAAAGTTACATGCTGATGCAATGAATCCGCTTGATCATAATGTCAGTCTTGTTATGGATGAAATGTTGTTAAAGCAGCATTTAGAGTATGATAGAAATTCTAACAGGGTTTACCATATGAAAAATGGAAAACTTTTAAATCAGGCCCTTGTAATTATGGTTAGAGGCTCAACAAATAAATGGAAACAACCAATAGCTTATTTTTATAATAATTCAACAGTAGCAACAGCTGACTTGGCTTCTTTACTACGTGAAACCAATTTAAGGTTCAAGAAGTTTACACATTAGATGTGTTGTTTGTGATCAAGGATCAACTAATATAGCTGCCTTACGTTTGCTTGGGTTTTCCAAAAATTTACCATACTTTCCTAATTCTTCCAATGATAAAAATATTCATGTTATTTTTGATCCCAATTTAGTAAAAAGTATCAGAAACAATTTACGAAGTCATAACATTGACATTAATGATGAAATAGTTTCTTGACAACACATCCAATCTCTTTACAATTTAGACAAATTAAACTCTATTTTTTGAATTAAACTATTTTTTCAATTATTTTTTTTGTAATAAAATGTGTTGATAACTTTAAAAAAAACTGTTATGTTTTTTGTTATTATAAGAATTTTTTATTTCATAAATTTTTTATTTAATAAAACTCGCCCAATAAATCA